AAAGCACCCTTCTGGCAAGTGATGGAGTGAATGATGGTGAAAGTTTTTCTTTTTCGGGCCACCCTGCCTTGGTGGGAATCGGCCAGTGTGGTAATAATAATAATAAAAAAAAAAAGATGGGGTGAGGGAAAGATTAAAACTCAGTTGATAAACATGAGAGAGTTAGATATGGGATGTGTCCAGAATGCAACTATTAACATAGGTAGCTGTAAGCAGCAATTTGTCACTGAAAATAGACCAGCCTTCACTTTAACAGTTTTAAAGATTAAAAAGATTAAAGATTTCAATGACCATATAACCTGTCTTTGAAATACTCATTTGTGCTTAATTGTTATTTGTTCACTATAATTTTTACCACTGAATGTATGATTGCTTAGTTAATCTTAAGTTAATTTTAAGCCTGCCTATAATGCTCTGCATACAAGGGCCTTTTGGCATGTTACACTTAACCACTGTATTTCTTTGTACAGCTATGTATCATGTCCAAATTAATAATAAATAAATAAATTTCTTTGCAAAAGGTTACAATGTGTAATTACAATTTTGATTTGTTAAGTACAAAGAAAGTCACTATCATGCTGGGGAATTTCAGGCAAACTAATTGTAATGTGGAGGTAAAATTCAATCAAACCAGACTCTATGAAAGAAAGAGATACATTCATTTCCTCCCACCGTATGCCACGATCACATGGTCATTTTCCTGCAAGACGTGAACTTAGATATAAAATTTTATATCATTTATTATTTTATTATTATTATTTACTATTTTTTCTTATGAAATGATAGAGAATCTTTTCCTGATGGTAATGACACCAAAAGTACGAAATTTGATGGAAAATTTACAGAATTATGCTCTCGCGAAGTTAGCGATCTTGGCGATATATACACATCGGCGATTTCGCCCACTTGTTCCCTATTTTTGGCCAATTCCATTGTTGCAGTCAACCAAACTGATAGCTGTTTCTTTAGACTCCATTTGTTTTATTGATTGAGTACAAGAAACTGCCCATTTACTGATTTCAGCTACCCAATAAAGTGATCAGAAATTGGCAATTTGGCTAATTTCACGGAAATTAAAAAAAAAAATGCCAATTTCAACATAGGGTCCAGAATAAACAATTCAAACATTCCTGGCATTAAAATAACATTTTTTCTATTCATTAGTCACATCTCCAGGCCTCTCTTATATTACTTTTGCTTGCTATTTTGAATTTTTATTCACACAAAAAATTTACTGTTATGCAGACTACTGCATTATTGTAATAATTGTATAAATAATGTCAACCCATTCATGACTGCATATTAAAATGTCTAGTTGGACACATATTATAGAGTGATGACATTTGTTTACTCTTGAACATCAGCAAAAATCAAACATTTCCCCTAATTTGAGCTCAGTTTCAAGGTCCTTTTCATCGTGAAACTAATCAAAATTATTTCTATTTCTCTAAAATGTCTTCCATTCTATCACATGAGACCAAGAAAGTCAGAATACAACCATAAATACTGTACAAAAACACACCTCAAAGTCGACGTTTTAATCCAAAAACACGGTTGGAATTTTTTTTTTCATTATGTACTGTATGCTGCAGGATTTTTTTATACTGTGCACACTGACCACACAGACCTATTCTCTCACATGTGGGCCTACCAGCTTTCTCCTGCTTGATTTGAAGCCGCTGGAATTTTGGCATATTAATACGTCAAAAACACTGGCTCGTAAGACGTATTTATACGACCAAGACATTCAAAGGGTTAAAAGTGCAATTTGTGAACTTGTAAAAAAATCTGAGAGTCTACTGTATAAATTTAGTAGCATTTATTATATCTAATATGCACCTATGTAAACCTGTGATTGCAATTTTTTTTTATGAGTAAAAATAGCTGGCTTTAGTAGACAATGACTATATATTTCTTGTAACAGAGTATTATTAAACTTGTAGAGAGAAAAGCAGATTATCAGAACCTGAGCTTTTTATATGACTTTGTATAGTCTGCAGACTCCATGCCTACTTTGTTGCCCACATATTTTGTGTTTTATGTGTGAGAGACATTGTATTAGTGCTGAGTCCTCTCTGAACCTCAACACCTGTGTATAACACGTGTTATCATTGTGTGTTGAGACCTCTCTAAGCCGTAACCCTTTGAGGATCTGTCCCATAGTTCTACGGCTTTGAAGCCTGGGTCCAAGCCTTAGAACTATGGCTTGAGCTTAGCTCACTTAGATAAGCCGTAAGCGGTAAATTTGGGCCTGAATATGAGAGAATACATCTGTGTGGTAAGTGCGCACCACATAAAACAAATACTGCAGCACTCAATGCCTAATGTGAAAAAAAACTGCGACCGTATATTGGGATTAAAACAGTGATTTTGCTGTGTTTTTTCGTATGTTTTTTTTACAATTGTATTCACGATTTCTTGGTCTCATTTGATAAAATGGAAGATATATTACAAAAAAAGAGAGAGAATTTTGATTGGCTTTAGTACCGAAAATGGCTTGAGACTTGAGCTGAAAGTAGCGGAAATGTTAAATTTTTGCCGATGTTCAAGAATAAACAAATGATGTCATGCATTTAATACACATCAACTGGTGGATCTAATATACATTCACAAATGTGCTGATATAATTTATGCAATTGTTACAATATTGCATTACAGTAAATCTTCTATTTTTTGGTGAGAATAAAAATTCATTATGTGAATAAAAAATCAAAGTGGAATTCATTTGTAAAGTCTGAAAATGTAACTAATGAACAGAGGAAATGTTAGTTTAGTGTCAGGAATGTCTGCATTGTTTGTTTTGGACCCTGTTTTGAAAGTGGAATATTTTAAACTTTGTGTTAAATTTGCCAAATTACCAATTTCCGATCACTTTATTGGGTAGTTGAAACAGCTGACTGGGTGATTTCTTGTGCTCAGTCAATAGAATAGAAGTAATACTAGCAAAATAGCTAAGAATTTGGTCGAGTGGAATAATGTAATTGGCCTAAAATGGGAGTCAAAGTCGGCAAAATCGCTGGTGTGTAAATATTGCTGATGCAGCTAAATTCGCAAGCGCGTAATTTCGTCAATTTTCCATCAAATTTTGTGCTTTTTGTTTTATTACTTTCAGAAAAAGATTCTCTGCCATTTCATACAAAATAGCAAAAATTTTTTTTTGAAAATTCTTGGTCCCTGGCTCTTACTCTTTGTATAACATGTTATCATTGTGTGTTGAGTCCTCTCTGACCCTCAACACTTGAGTATAGCACATATTATCATTGTGTGTTGAGTCCTCTCTATACCTTAACACCTGTATATACACATGTTATCATTGTGTGTTAAGACCTCTTTCAACCTCAACAACTGTGTATAACACATGTTATAATTTTATTTATGTTTTTTCTCATTTTTTTTCCCAGTTTTGGATGGAGAAAAATGACACAAAGCTATAAAGTTCGAGAGAGGAACTTTTTGAGAAGTTTTATCTGTGGAACAGTTTACTGACTGTTTTATCTATGGAACAGTTTACTAACTGTTTTACCCATGGAACAGTTTACTGACTGTTTTACCTGTTCCACAGGTAAAACAGTCAGTAAACAGTATCCTCATTTTTCCCAGAGTCCTCATCTTTTTTTCATTTTTCTTGCATAATACACACTAGTACTATACAGCCACTCCTCACTTAGTGACGCACTCATTGACTGACAAATCGGACTTACGACAGGCTCTCTGACCAGTATGCATACCTAAATGTTTATTAGAGCTGATTTCTTGTAGTCTGTTCATTACAATATATAGTACACTACTGTATACACATTTAAAAATATACCAGAAATGTTGTATATGGTTCAAAGGTGACATTAAAACAATATCAGAGATGGTTGACACAAACTCACTACCATTATAGTATGCTCCTCACTTAGCGATGAATTCGTTTACCGACATGGTCTAAAGAACAGAACTCCGTCATTAAGTGAGGAGAGGCTGTACTTCATACAACTTCACATACAGTGGACCCTACCTTTTCGTTGGGCTCCATTTTTGCGAATTTCAGTTATTGCTGACTTTTTTTGTAAAAGTATTGGCTCAGTTTTCGTTACTTTCCTCTGTTCTCGTCAATGGTATGGAACATGTTTGAGTGTGCCCATGTGCACACAACCTCCCACACATGCATTCTGGGTGAGTGAACATTATCCTGTGAGGTCATAGGAAACATTTTGTAATACTAATTCATTGTTTTTGCACTTGTTTATTCTGTGTGACTGCTAAATAAGCCTCCATGGGTCCAAAGAAAGTTGCTAGTGCCAGTCCTTTGGTAAAGAAGGTGAGAAACATTATAGAATTAAAGAAAAAGATTGTAGAAAAATACGAAAGTGGTGGTGGTAGAGGGTGGTAGTGGTTATGATGGTAGTAGAGGGTGGTAGTGGTAGTGATGGTGCTAGTGATTGTGGTAGAGGGCAGAGCTGCAAGAGCTCTCTGGGCAGTTTTTTTGTGCAACAGGGGTCCAGTGACTCTTAAGCTGGTCCTAGTGCCATTCAAAAACAAAGAAGGGAATAACCCAGGATAAGGACTTGGTACATGAAATCTTTGTGGAAAGGGATTTCCCTCCCAAACAGTAATCAGTCCTCCTTCTCCCCTCCTCACTGTCTTCCATACACCAACAGGAGTCTTCAGTAAAGGTTAGTGTAATGTTAGGTGTTCATTTATACATGTTATTAGTGCTTTATAATATATTTGTCATTCTTTTCTGTATGTAAATATATATTTAATCTCTAAAAAATTATTTTTTGTTAATACTTTTGGGAGTCTGGAACAGATTAATTGGATTTTCTTTATTTCTTATGGGGAAAATGGTTTCAGTTTTCATCAATTTCACATTTTGTCATACTCTCTGTAGCGGATCAATGACGAAAAGGGAGGGTCCACTGTACTTCATACAGCTTCACATAATGAACAAACCTCATTTATTTTTTTTCCCATATTTTCTTGTGCAATTAGCCAGTCAAATATTTTTGCAGGTACGACCTAATGGATCTTTGTTTATCCGAGATGTGCAGAAGAGTGATGCTGGGAACCTTAGCTGCACAGCTGCCAACACTCATGGTGCTGATAGTATTACATATATTTTAACAGTACAAGGTAATTCTATCTTCTCACACTATACAGTAAACTTTGATATACAAAGCTATAGAAAGACTTTTACTTTATTGTAGAAAATTTGCTTAATGTATTGCATAAACTCTGTAAAATTTGGCCATGCTAATTCCAGAGACATTTAAGGCCAGCTGGGAAGGTTATGTGATGTAGCAAAAGTTATATATTACAATATTTTGAAAATTGAGCAGTATTTTCCATGCAAGGCTTGATGAACCACTAGGAATAACAACTTGACTGAATACTTCATAAATCACCAGTTTTAAGACCTTCCTATATCTTAGTAGATTAACTAGCTGCCTCCTTCTTACCTCTTACAATTGAAGGCCTCATTTTCTCTACTGTAATTATGTGCCTCAGCAATGACTAACAAGTTGAGTAATACGTAGTCATAAATGACGACAAATTGTAAGAAGACACTAAATGTAGAGAACACTTCATTGGTACAACATTTCACCCATAGGGGTCTCACCAAGAACACAGAAACATTACAATAATAAATTGTAAATATTACACTGGGCAACCAAGGTCAGGAAGTGCAGTGTCAGAGGAGCACTGTAGGAGGCCTACTGGTCTATGCTATACTTTGAGTTTCCATTATTTTAAGATGATCTGGGTGAGAGGTGTAGTCAAGGTAAATGTGCAACATTTGTGATTAATGGTGTTTGATAATTTAATTGTTTAAGACTAAAGACATCTATATTTAATTTTGTTATTTTCATGTAATTCTAGTGCTGCTTTTCTCCCCCCCCCTTCCCAGTGATGTGGTGTGGGAGTTAAAGTGCTCTATATATGAACATTACTGGTGCTGTTCTCTTGAAGATGTGTAGGAAGCCATCTGGCAGTTTCTCCATGATAGACCTTGTCACGTCCCACCAAAAAGTGGATGTGCTGAGTGTTTTTCAAAGTCTCTAATTATTTTGGTGGTAATCACACATACTTCAGTGTTGCTTACTGTAGAATGGAAGAGGCTGTGTTGGCTGTGGTGCCAGTGGTTAACATCAGTCTGTGTTCAGTATTACTTTAAGTTCTACCAGTTTGTGTATCAATGTGGCCTTTCAATTGTTGAAACCCAAAGTAATATTAAACATATTCATCTCACCCACTGGCACCACAGTCAGCGTTGTTTCTCCCATCCTGTGTAAAGCCAACACTAAAGTAAGTAGCTTTGATTATTATCAGAACAATGAAAGACATCACCAGAGCCTCCACACCCAACACAACACCCAGAGATCCAACAGTTTACATTATTATTATAGTCAAAAAGAAGCGCTAAGCCACAAGGGCTATACAGCGCTGCCCAACAGTTTACAGCATCTCTTGTGGGAGATGTGACAAGTTTACACTGGAACAAAGCCCAGAGGTCTATCCATATGATTAAAAGATTGTATTAATATTGGTAGAATTAATGACAATGTTAGGTGTCCTTTTACCTAACATGATTAGAAGTACACAAGCATACATGCAGAATTGACATCAATAATTCTGGTGTACAACACAACTCCCATGTCCATACCATGGTGTGGGATAGGCGCCTGTAATTTCATTACAATGGCAGAATTAAATGCTGATGTTGAGTCTGTCAGACTATCCACCACTATTAATCAGGCATGTTCATCTTAGTTACACATATCAACCACATCTC